GGGTTTGGGGGTTAGGGGTTTGGGTTTAGGGGTTTAGGGGTTTAGGGTTTAGGGTTTAGGGGTTTAGGGTTTAGGGTTTAGGGGTTTGGGTTTAGGGGTTTAGGGGTTTTGGGTTTAGGGGTTGAGGAATGTTGAGGACAAAGGGTTTAAGGTAGCTTCAAGGCGTGAAGGCGCGTCAGGACATGACAAGCACCCCAGCAGGGTTGGGATCGTGCTGTCTGTAACCTTGCTTACTGAGCCTCTCCTGGGCCTTTAGGTGCACAGGCTGTGGAGGTTGCGAGATGGTCTTGCGCCACAGGTAGCACTGCTTACTCATCCGCACGTGGTGTTGATGCTTCCTCCTCAGACGTTGCGGTGTGCTGCTTCCGAGTGACATGGAGCCGGTGCGACTCTTCTGGAACAGGTCGTCAGATACTGGAAATGAACAGCTGGGCCTGACGGACGTGACGCAGATGATCTGCAATGCCAGGCACATACAGAGGCTGCAGTGCAGCACGCCGTGATTCACAACCAGCCTTTTCAGAGGCCACACCTTTAGGATCATTTCGTATTCTGCAGATTCCTAAGCACTCTGGTTTGTTACTGACGAGGCTACATGAGCAAGCCTCTTGAGAAGGATTAGGGGAGCCTTAAGCCATGTCCGAGGTTATTGAGATCCGGAGCAAGGAGGGCAACAACAATGGTGTGGTCAACGCCTCGGACAGCCTCAGATTTCAGCAGTTTTGGAAGAAAGGGGTAACCGGAGCCGAGCAGGTCCTCGTCCCCGATCAGCTCCTGGCATCAGTGTTTGCAACTTGCATCGCAACGGTATTCTGACTTGCTCTGAATGCTCACATCTTGGTGGAATTCTGGAGGTGGGGGGAGGAGGATGCCACAAAACCCACCAGATAGGAGTTTCCGGAAATTAGGGGTACCTTATTCTGGGGTCCTTATAGTAAGGATCCTATTATTTAGGGTGCTATATTAGGGTCCTCTCCAACAGTTCAGAATGAAGGGCCAGAGCGAGCCTTGCGAAGAGCTCAGGAGATGAAACAGCTTTTCCGGGAGGCTCGGGGCTGTGGCGGATGTGTCCAGGCAGTTTTTTAAAGTGGCATCATCCTGATCAGATCTACGAGATCTACACCGCATGTCCGGAGTGCTTTGCCAGCCGCGCTCTCTGTTTTCACTCGGTCTAGCGGCTGCATGGTACGAAGACTTGCAACCCAGACCTGAACACCAATGGCATCATTGACATGCCTGTCGTTCAGCATCTCTTGCCGGCGCCCCGGTACTCAAGGAAGGGCCAGGAGAGAAGATTCGGCACTGACACCAGGCCCCCTCTCACCGCGGCTCTGCAGAAGCCTTGGGGAGCTCTGCTCCGGGAATTTTTGAAAAAGCTGCTGGGTTTCGGTATGGCCTCGAAACTCAAAGCAGGTTCAAGTCGATGCCCGAGCGAGTTCGTGTGCAGATTTGCCGCGTGGTGGTCGAGGCACTGAGAATGTCTGTGATGTCTGTGTGCCTCCACAGCAGCGGTCTTCCTTCACTCACGCCCGGTCTTGGTGCAGGGCGAGTTCTGTCGCGGAGGCAATATTGATCTTGGCACGGTTGAGACAGAGGTGGGCAGTGTCTGTAGAAGGTTTGCTGTCTTGAAAGTCTTGACGAAGTTGTCTGCTACTGCTGGCTGCTAGTTGTGTTTCATGGTTGTTTTGCGTTCCCGTGAGTTGCTGTCGGAAGGGCTAGTGAGGTGCGAAGTTCCGAGCACGAACGCACATCGAACTGCACTCTTTTCGAGTCTTTCGAGGAAGCTGACAGTTCACCTCAGCGCAGAATGCCCTGCTCAGAGATGGCTTATCAGAGTCTGGGCTCAAGGCCTTCTCGTGATTTCTCCCACCTTGGCCTCTAGGTTGTCGGTTTTTTGTCCTTGCAGAGCTCTGGAGTTGCAGGGGATCAAAGGTGAGGCTTTTGGTTGAAGGCCTTCCAGGGCTCCGTCTGCGCTCCGGGCTTTCTCCGCCCCCTTTTTGCTTTCGACGTCTATCATGGGCTCCATGGGAAGGGTGCCTCGCTTGCGTGACTTCCGCTATGTCCGTTTCTGAATCGAGCAACTCACGGTGATGGTAGGTTGGGTTGCTTATAGAATGTGCTGACACGCATGGGAAGCATCGGAGGTCATCTTCAAAAGCATGGTGGAGGGCGAGCTCACACGACGCGTGGTCATGGGCAAGTTCAGGGGCCCCTTCCAGGCTCCCGGTGGCAGATTCGTCTGATGGCTTTAGGGTTTAGGGTTTAGGGACTGCAGAAGCTGTAGGCCATTACGTATTCCCTGCCATACCAAGCACGCTGCCGCCTTAGATTCTCTTCAAGCTGGGGTAAGGCTTTGCCGGCTTGCGTTGATGCCGAGGTGCAGCACTTCCAAGCAACTTCGACTGTGATCTCGGATACACGATCGGTTGCGGCCTGACTTGCTCCGATGCGTTTAATTGTCATATGACAGTCCACAAGATCGTAGTTATGTTCGATGTCAGTACATGTCATATATCATGTAGTACATGATTCGCAAAATCCGAGAACTCGCATGCGAGGCTACACGGCAGGAACCTTCGTCACGCAGGAGCGGACAGGCGTCTTGGTGGATGTGACGAAGCTCAAGGAAGACGTCAAGCACTGGGAGGCTCGACTTTTGGTGATGCAGCGGGTTGGTGAGAGGTTTGTTTAGATTCGGGCTTACTTGAGAATAGGATCCCGCTGTCTTGCTGTTTCGTGGATCCAGGTGTTCGGCACACCCATCTCGTCGCTCCTCACTTTCCATGCCAGGGCCTGTGCTCCGGACCTCTGTCAAACTGCTTCCCAACAGACGGCTGTGCACACCGGAACTGAGCTGGGGTGACTTTCAGAGCCCCTTGGCCGGTCCGAACGTAGTTTCTCGAGTCCTTCCAGCCATGGCCCGTCTTTGGATCTGTTGAGCGATGGGCTGCCCAACAGGCCGTTGGCATCATTAGCAGTAGTTTTTTTGGTTGGTGGCCTTGTGAACTTGTGTCGATACAAAGCCTTGCCAATCAGCCGGTAGTTGGAACATGAGATGGGGATGCAAGACTTATACTACGTATGATATGTATATATAAATAAGTATAACCATACATGTAATTATAAATTATATAAAATAAAGTGAACTAAATGAACCGAATACACACACACACATATATATATATATATATATATACATATTATATTTATACACATCTATATGTATGTATGTATGTATGTATGTATGTATGTATGTATGTATGTATGTAGGTATGTATGTATGTATGTATGTATGTATGTATGTATATATTGTATATACCTGTATATATATATATACACATCTTGTAACACCTCGAGGCAGCCCAGGAAGGACGCGGAAAGCAGCAGCTCTTCGAATCTCTGCAGGTAGAAGCTCCTAGCGGTCCGAGACTGAGATGTGCTGGAAAAGCCAAGTTAAGTAAGGTGTAGGGCTTAGGGTCTAATTACGGTTTGGGGTTTGAGGTGTAAGGTGTGGGGCTTAGGGTCTAATCAGGGTTTGGGGTTTGAGGTGTAAGGTGTAGGGATTAGGGTCTAATTACGGTTTGGGGTTTGAGGTGTAACGTGTAGGGATTAGGGTCTAATGACGGTTTGGGGTTTGAGGCGGAAGGTGTAGGGATTAGGGTCTAATTACGGTTTGGGGTTTGAGGTGTAAGGTGTAGGGCTTAGGGTCTAATTACGGTTTGGGGTTTGAGGTGTAAGGTGTAGGGATTAGGGTCTAATTACGGTTTGGGGTTTGAGGTGTAAGGTGTAGGGATTAGGGTCTAATGACGGTTTGGGGTTTGAGGTGTAAGGTGTAGGGATTAGGGTCCAATTACGGTTTGGGGTTTGAGGTTTTGGATGAAGTGTTTCTGGGTTTGGGGTCTGCTCCTGTCTGTCCGTCTTCTCACCATGGTGCTGGCCGATTTAGGCCATGGAGAACCAGGCCAAGGAGAACCAGGGCGGTGAGGAAGAGCAGGTACGTGAGAAAGCCGGGGAGGAGGTCCGGATTGTGCCGAATTTTGGCCTATTTTGGCAAAGCCAAACAGTTTCCCAATCGACCAGAGCATTCCAGATTATCCTGCGGCCAGGTCGTTATCGTCGAAGGAGAGTTCAGTTGGTTTGCGGCATGGATGATGATGTTCTGGTTGGTGGTGTGCATTTGCCATTTGGCTGGATGCTGGTTTGGATCACCTTAACGGCTCCATCGTCAGACGCGAATAGCATGAACTGAGAGTCCAATATGGGTTGAACGATAGTAATAGCAGATTATAGCATAGACCAAAACCCCATTCGACTTATTCTTGCCCCTGTTTATTGTTTTTTGGCAGCACAGGTTCTGTGACCATGGGTGTGCTGACCTTCCAGGCCCGGGGGACGCCGGATAAGGACGCACACACACGCGCACGCACAATGGAGATTCGGAAGCTGGAGCCCCGAAATCCGAAGAATACTTTACGCCGACGCTCTAAGAAGTAGGGCCCTCGATAGGAGCACCCGTCGTAGTTCGGTCCTTCAGGGCGATGGAATCGAGCGGATCTCCGAGGAGATCTCCTTCGTCCGGCAGCAAAAGCCGCCCTATGGACCCGCAGAGCAGCCCAATATGGCCACAATGAGAGAGATCAATGAGCCGTTCAGCCGCTGTGCTTCGAACCCTAAAGCCCTAAATCGCAGGCCATGTAAAACTTTGTCCCTTCAGTTGAAACCTCTTTCTAAATCGTAAAAGAACAAAAAAACCCTGAAATGCCTCCTGAGGGTATCACCTGCCGCAAGTCGCCTTGTACTACTCTGTTGCAGCAGCTTCGCTGGGGCTTTTCACCGACTCGCTTCTGCACCAAGAGTCCCACACTTTCCGTGTCGGTATCTGCTATAATTGCTATTATTACTGTTATTATTATTATTGTCAGAAGTGTTATTATTAGTATTGTCATTATTATTGTTACCGTTGTCATCAGTATCATTACTAGTGCTAGTGCTAGTACTAGTACCAGTACTAGTATTAGTACTGGTAGAAACAGTATTTCTATTTACTATTCACTATTCACTTTTCATTACTTGCTGTTTGCTATCTACTATCGCAGATATTTGTTACTACTGTCATAAACATTGCGATTATAATGGTAAATATATTATTGCCATTACTACTATTAATAATTCTTAATATTAGTAGAAAAATATGATTACCCTAAACCCTAAACCCTAAACCCTAAACCCTAAACCCTAAACCGTGGGCGTTCGGTGTCTCAGGTAAGTTTCTTCGCAAACTCGATGCTGCTGGAGACCCAGGGGGTTTCCCGAAATGTGCCTTGACACTGCAGACAGCACGGACTGCAGTAAGAATAATAATAATAGTAAGAATAATAATACCAGTAATAATAATAAGAACAATAATAATAATAACAATAATAATAATAATAACAATAATAATAATAACAATAATCATACCTAATTACAATAATAGTTCATAGTCCAATGATGGTCCCCTTCTACACTTCTGATACCTCTGATTGCCTTGTAAAGGTGGACATCAACATGCTGATCAATGCAGGTGTCCAGATCTACATGTCGCGCACGATCCCTGTCATCTTGCTCTTCTTGGTCTCCGCCGGTGGCTATGTGTTCGTCACAGCGGGCTGGGGCACGCTGACGTGTTTCGGAGCTGGGGCCCTCTTGAACCTGGTCTCTGCATGGGTCGGCGTCCGCACCACCGTGCAGGGGACATGTCGATTGGCCACACTGCTCTCAGAGAACTTGTCCCGCTCCGTCCAGCTGGGGATGTGGACAGGATCCATCGGGGGCCTCCTCTCTACTTCGCTAGCTTTGGGGGGCCTTTTGCCTTGTTCTGGCACTTCTTTTGCGCACCAGCGGTTTGCCGTGATTTTGACTGAGATAGGAATCATAACCTGGCCTCTCGAAGTACCCGCAGGCAGCTACGCTCTCAACAAGTCTCAAAAAGCCCCGCCAGCCTCTAAGCTCCTAGAGAGTGAGTGCTGAAACGCGGGAAGCTTGCAAACCCCTAAACCCTAAGCCCTAACCCCGAATAAGGCGAGCGTGAGACCTGATCCCTCAGTGCCGCAGCCCAAAGCCTCCGGGCTCTGAGGTATGGCCGGGATGTGGTTTTGGATCTTGGACACCTCCTTGCTTCTGGGTTCTTGTTGAGGAACAGAGTGAGTGTTTAGTGTTTAGGGTTTATAACCTATGGTAAATAATCGGGCTTCCTTGTTATCTTAGCCAGGAAATCCTGGTTTCCTATATTTAGAACCCATGAAAGGGACCCTGAACTATGGTGGAACGTAGCCAAAATTATGGTAGAGCCCTTAAAGGAATTCTATGTTCTGTTCACGTAAATGAAGCCCTAAGCCCTAAACCCTAAACCCTTAAAGGACCCTCATCAGTCGTCACTTGGTTGCTGCTTTCTTAATCTGAGAACGTGTGGAGCCTTGCCTGCCTCGAGCGAGTGTGAGAGTCGAAACCCTTAAAGCCCGAGATTATGTTGACTCGAATGAAGCCGTAAACCCTGAACCCTAAACCCTTAAAGGAAGCCTATATTCGGTGAACTTAAATGAAGCCCTAAGCCCCAAACCCTTGCCTTCCGGAGCCTTGCCGGCCTTGTGCGAGCGTGAGAGTCGAAACCCTTGAAGGTCGCAAGTACGGAGGTACCGCCGAGGGTTTTTACGTCTGCCTAATAAGGCTCTCTGGCAGTGTGCAGCTGCAAAAAGGTACCCAAAAAACCTCAAAGGAACTATAATTGAAAGGAACCCTATAGTCTGAACCCCAAAACGCTAAGAGGAAGCCTATGTTCTGAACCCAAAACCCTTAAAGGAACCCTATATTCTGAACCCAAAACCCTAAGAGGAAGCCTATGTTCTGAACCCTACACCCTTAAAGGAACTCTATAGTCTGAACCCAAAACGCTTAAATGGAACCCTATATTCTGAACCCAAAACCCTAAAAGGAAGCCTACGTTGTGTAACTTCCTTCACAAGAGCCCAGGCTCTCGGGCTTTGGCTCCGGCGCCTGTCGCTGGGTCCTCGTTAAGGAAGTGCTGTAAGTCACCATACCTTACAGGGTTTAGGGGTTTAGGGTTTGGGGGTTTAGGGTTTAGGGTTTAGGCTTGGGTCAAGCTGCGCAGGGCAGCAGACGAGTCCCTTGTGAAAAAGGGTTTAGGCTGCCACCGTGGGGGCATTTGGTGTGCTTCTTTACTATGGTACTTCACTCAAGTACCTAAACCCCTAAAGGAACCCTATATTAGGTTCATTGAAGCTCCTTACAAAAGAGCCCAGGCCTCGTCTCCTTCTACCTGCGCGTCGGCGGGGGGATCTTCTCGAAAGGCGCGGACTTGGGCACCTTGGCAGAGCTTGGGTTTCGGGGTTTTGTTTAGGCTTCATTTTAGGGTATATTAAAGGTGTATTTAGTGTTTATTCAAGGTTTGCTTAGAGGTTGATTTACGGCTTATTTAGGGTTCGGGGTGTCGGGTTTAGTGTCATGAGTGGGTAACAATGCTCTTCGGGGCCTTCTTGCCAAAAACAGGAAGTATCTGTTTCGGGCTCTCTTTGTCAGGGGTCCCGCTGGTTTGAAACTCCTGGACCTGAAACTATTTTCTTGGAGTCGAGAGTCTTCCAGTGGTCTTCCTTCGTTCAAGTCCAAGTAATTATCCGTTGCAGGCGGCGACCTCGTCGGCGAGATGAGCGAGACGAAGTTTGATGAAGAGCGGCGTGTCTTCGAGCTGCAGCAGCGCATGGAGCCTCAGCTCGAGATGCTGTATGGTGGAACCACCCTGACTAGGGGAGGTGAAGTTCAGAACAGTAAGGGGCCTACAAGTAAATGGCAGTGGTAGGGAGTAGGGAG